CAACTTGCAACCATCTAAATGACCCACTTACCTCGGCAGTACAGGCAGGGAGGAGAGAGCCCTTTTGCACCTCTGTGATGCGCACAGGTGGCCTGGCATGCTCCTGCGCCCTGGGGGCAGGAAGAGCCCCCTTTCCATGTTTCAGGCGCAGAACAAGGATTTGGGGCGCACATTCATTTGCTGCACCTGTCCGAGACGGGCAACAGCGGGCAGGCGCCTCTCTGGGTGCCTGAGGGGAGGAGGAAAAAGAGGGAGCATTTGCAAAGAAGAAAATTGCCAGCAAATACTTTTGGGTTGGGCACGCAAAGGCTGAAGACTGCATTTTCTCTCCGAGTGACTCCTGAAAAAGGACATTTACCCTCCGTCTTTTGAGCTGGGGAGTACATAAGACTTACTCTTCTGCGAACTGCCGGGACCCTCCTCATTAGGGAAACCTTGTAGCCTGGGCTGTGCTTTTCCATGGCAGAGTGCCGTTTCACAAAGACAAGGCACCAGCACGGCATCCCAGTCCCGAGACCGTGGAGGGGGTGGCAGCAGAGAGGCAGTGGCCAAGCCTTGGAGGCTCCTGGAAGCTGCCTCAAGTCTGGAACTGCCTGGACTTGGCTGCCCTGCCGCTGTGGGAGAGGGGAGCCCGCTGCAGACATGGTACAAGTGCCTCCGGGCTATGGAGGAGGCCAAAAGCTGGAAGGAAATTGCTATTGTAAAAGTGCATTAAAACAACCCTGCATGGGCTTCATCCCACAGCTCGAGGCAAAATCCACGGCGCACTGAGCTGCGTGTGGAGCCTTGTCCGGGCTCCCCGGGCAGCCACATGCCACAGGTGACTCATGGGCGGAGAAGCCGGACAGCAGGGAACCAGCAGCCGTGTTTCCACCTCGTGGTCACTGCCCAATCCCCGTGTTCCCTCTGGGCTCCCGCTGCCCCACCACCTTCCTTTTTCCCTCCTCTTTAAAATAGTAACGTTTGTGAAACTGCTGTTTCTCGGCGACCCTGGAAGTGGTGCCACAGATGACAAAATGCAGTCGTCATAGGCCCCCTGACATGGTCAGACTGGGTCCGAGGATGAGTAATCCTCCTGGATACGTCCTTTTTATCGTCAAGAAAGCTGAGCTTGAAACCTAGTCATGTATGTAGATTGTTTATTGATTCCAACATATCAGTAGATTGGATAATAAACAGGACTTTTAAACATTCTCTTAACCAAAAATATAACAAATATTTACAATCACTCAGTAAAAATACAAAAAGCATACAGAGGCACTGTCTTTCTAAAAGACATAAGTGTAAGAGGTATCAAAAAATAGGAGACAAACATTGCTTGTTACAGAATACTTTACAATCACTGACTTGTGCAGTACAATTGCTATTGGAATATCATTACATCTGTGCAGTTTTTGCCAATATGCTCACATATTTAGAATGTCATTAATACCAAGCTAAACTGCATTCCAGGTATAAAAAAAATAAAGATAAAACAATAAAAAGCACAACGTACGCTAAAGCTGAACTGTGAATTCCAGAGGGTTTTGCCCTCGCCCCCTCCACGCCCCAACTTATTTTAAATACAATGTGTAAAGGTTGTCTAAAGAGAGAGTATCCCTTTTTTACTCTGTTTTTTCTGAAGGCAGTGGTAAGAACATCTTTTTAAAAAATCTAGTTCTAGCGCATGTATAGAAAAAGCTTAAATTGACAGTCATACGTTTGCATTGTTGCCCGCGATCAAGTGATTTCACAGATAAAGGAGGAGCAAAAAGAGAGAGAGAGAGAGAGAGGGAGAGAGAGATTTATCTTTGAGGGAGTTGCTAACATACAGATTCCTTCAGCAAAGGATGCTTCCATGGACTCAGTCCTGGCCAACATCCATCTCCCAATGCTTTGAATAGGCAAGGATGACACCCAGACCATCACACAATCAAGATGCGTAATGAGTTAGAAGGAAGCCATGTCTCCCCCTGTAATCATGGGCTGTGCCACACTACTTCTATAGCTAAGGGCTAAGCAGATTAGCAATGAAAATGCCTCATCTTCCCAATCTTGCAACGATTGCCAGTCATTCCATTCTTCTTACCACAAAAAGCTTAACACGAGCATATAGCAAATATCCAAAGCAATTCCCCCTTTAGTCCCTTGTATTTACACAATATGCAAAAGAGTGAATCAGAAGCTCAGTTTCCTAATTTCATCTGCAAATGTGTGGAGGCCAATTCACTTAAGGATATTATGTGGCTTTGTAAATTCTTGGGAAGTCTGAGATTTAAAAAACACAATGAAATGCTACAATCCGTCTCAGATCACAACCAGTAAACATTTCCCTCACAACAGTTACAAGCACGCAAATAGTTACTGGAGCAGCAAGCAAATGAATGTGCGTAAGTGGAAGAAAAATATGAGAAGGACATTGTACTCCTCAGAGGTCAGGATTGTGAAAAGGGAAAGGAGTGATATGAGGATGGAGTGCAGTACAGGTCATTTGCTCACACTGCGTGGTTTCATGAAATAGCACTTGAACAGAGCAAAGTAAAATGTGAATTAAGCAGTGTCAATTTTCAAAACTAAAGGGATAATGTCTCTTCAAACCCACACAAGACGTACTACATTTGGCTACTGTCCCCGATCAATGTGATCAGTTGAGTTCAAACAAACAAAATCACAGCAAGGACGAGCAGAGGCAAGCCACACTGTGCAAGTCAGAAGAAGCAGAAAAAGTAGCTCATTTATCAATAGTTTATGCAGAATTTATTTACACTAGATGTACTGTATATTAGGAAACACTGATGAAGCAAGACTTTCACTCACTTTACAAGCAATGTCCTGAAAATTACTGCTGAACAGGCTGATGCTGTTCATGTGCAAACACCAAGTTTAAATGAGTAAATGATAGCAAATGGCTGGCTTAATGGATACCAGATGAGGGCCTCCATGCTGCTCCCACTGAAGTCACTGGGAGTTTTGCCATCAACATCAGTAGAAGTAGTAGCATCAGCCCCTCTAAAAGACAGGTGGTCACCTCAAGAACAAACCTTTACTCCTTTTGGCTTAACAGGCTGAAATAAACTACATATCAATAGCTGAAGCCACTGAAACCTTAATTTATCTGGCACAAAACACATGATTTTCTGATTAAACATTAAGCCTATTGTGCACAACACTGAGACATTAACAATCAACTACAGTTTACTGTAGGATTACTAGAACTTGCAATTTATAGCCCAAGAAAGATAATTTTAAGGACTTTGATATCAACATTACAGATACTGAACAGAATAGTTTTTCCCTGGATCATTTTGACGCATTAATTAACCTTGATTCATTAAGGCCTGCACAAGTCTACTGTATTCATTAAGGCCTTGAGAAGGCTGAGCGGAAATGAGTAATCTGCTTTTCAAAAGGATTTTTTTCAGCTATTCCCTCCTCAGATGCTCATACCCAAAATTAACACGCAGCCAAACAATTAATTATGAATTAGGCATCCCCTTTTTCATATTAGTGCTTGTGACTAATTTATGACTTTAGGATACACGACTCAATCTAAGGTATGTTCCAGCCATACGATAATATTTCAACTGGCACAAATATGAAGACAAATACAAGCTTGATCGAACACATTCCTGTGTTAGTTAACATCTACCCCGAGTTGATATGGGCAATACACGTCAAAGGCTTTTGGTTGTTTTTGGTACTTGTGTCATTTTTAGAAAATGCTGCATTCATTCTGCACCAGGAAAGGAGTAGGGGGGAAAAGAAAAAAGGAGGAGACCAAAAAAAAAATAATCTTAAAGCTCTTCACAATTTAGATACAGAAACAATTTCTTTGAGGCACCTGTAAAAATGACGAACATCTTCTTTCTAGCTTAGATTATAAACATCACCATTACGATTTACAATGAGAATGTTAAAGTACATATTCACACATTCACATCCAATTTTAACAGCTGATTGGGCCACCATGTGCTAGTCTGAACGGAAATGCAGGTATTTCCAGTTTTATCCCATGTACTCTGATTGGCTAAGGCCAAGTAAAAATGAAGAAAGCCAGGGAGTTTATCCTAATCGTACAAGATCACTGTGGCTGAGTACTGGCCCCACTGAAATCAAAGCTCTCACAGATTTCAGTGAACATTACGTTTGCAGAATCAGTTGTATGCTGTATTTCATCAGCGAACAAGAGCAATACCAGCCCTGCAGACCAGACCGGAGACTTCCCTCCCCCATTAATTTAACTCCTATGCCACCCTGGGGTTTACTCCATAACGGAAGCAGAAACAACTCATTTCTGTGTAATTTTTTTGGTACAAGTACAAAAATATCAAATGTTCCTGAGCCTGCTGCACACTACTTTTCCTTTGGGTGACTACAAATGTGTTTCTTATGCTGCACTCTGCAGTGCAAAAAAGTTGGGTGCAATTCTGCTTGGAGACTTTCAAATATACTCAATACCTCCACAGAAACTGCAGGCTCCCCATTTCAAACCTCTACTCTGGGGAGAATGCAGTGATGACCTCCTGGGACTTTCTCTGCAGCCTGATCATTAAAGGCTTTCATAGGTATTTTACAGATTTTTAAGGCAGTACCAAGAGATGGCAGTGTTTCATTGCTGTATTCAGGTTTCCATCGTATTTACATTTAGTGCACACCACAAAATCCGGGTATTTCCGAATGAACTAACATTGCATTGTGTAGGCTCCAGGTTTTATGCGTCTGTTGTGAAGTCTCCAATTTTCTTTTAAGTGTTCACATTAGCCAACCAGAGCGTTCCCAGCACAAATAAAAGAAAATCCCTCTAAAAACTACAGACCAATAAATTACTTTTCATATACTGTAGCAGTGTCCTTGGTTTTGCTGAAATTTTGAGGTTGTTTTTTTTTTTTTTTTT